TATTTTTATAATAAGCTAGGCATAAAAGGACAAAAGCCACATCTTCTACTTATTGGGAATCAGTAGGTCAGTCTTGTAAAAGAATGAAATAGTGCTTACTAGAGACTTGGAGGTGCAGTGTGAAAGGGGTACAGAAAGAAGTTCAATAAGAGGCATCAAAACAGTATGGAGGGCTGACTCCTGGTTCTCCTTCACTGCAGTAACTTTATAATAAGCTAGGCATAAAAGGACAAAAGCCACATCTTCTACTTATTGGGAATCAGTAGGTCAGTCTTGTAAAAGAATGAAATAGTGCTTACTAGAGACTTGGAGGTGCAGTGTGAAAGGGGTACAGAAAGAAGTTCAATAAGAGGCATCAAAACAGTATGGAGGGCTGACTCCTGGTTCTCCTTCACTGCAGTAACTGCTGGTTAAGACAATCTGTGACATATTTTGAAATGACTAGAAGAGTATGAAATTCCCAACACAGTGAAGACTGGTGGTTGAAGAAGTAGAAATATGTTTAACCTTGATTTGATTTTTATGCATGTATTGAATTATCAGAATGTACCCCATAAAGATGCACAAATATTACATCTCAATTTTAAAAATCCTGCTTCTATAGAGAGTATTGGCAATTAGAATCAGTTTGAAATTTTCTAAATTGAAAACATAATTACTTAGGGAGATGACGTTGTTTTGAGCAATTCACATTGATATTACACATAGAATGTTCTACCAATTCACTCACTCATGATGACAAGGCATTTGGATAAAGTATCTTAGAGGTCTTGCAGTCTGATGTCCTTGCTTTATCAGAAGAAATGGAACCAGAGGAGCAAAGGGTCTTGCTTTAGTTCAATACACAGATCAGAAACAGAATCCACATCTATGTCTTCAGTCTGGACCCTGGCAGGAGTAAGGTTTACCTTCATTCCTTTAAGAGTAAGCCATGGTCCATCCATAAAGTCATGACAACATTGCTGAAGGCCTTTTGCCTTACAGTGGCACTGTCTGGTGGAATTTCTGCAATGATGGAATCATTCTCCATCTGTCCTGTCCAATATGGTAGCCAGTAATCACACACTTTGTGCACTTGAGATATTGTTAACACATCTGAAACATTTTATTTTTAATTTGTATTAAAACTTAAATTTTTACACAGAGCTGTTGCTTGCTATTATTGGTCAGCATGACTCTAGAGATAGTAAGGTCCTTGAGGTCAGGGCCATGTTTTGTTCATTATGATCTCTGAAGTAGTATTTTCTCATGCCAGGGACTCAAGGATTTTCTAACTCAAATTGATTTAAATTTATAAGCACTGGATACTGCAAGTGTAGACTGTAGTGGTTTGTTACGGTTGGCAACGTGATATGCCTGGGAAGAGGGAACTTTAATTGAGGAATTTTCTCTATCGGATTGACCTGTGACCATGTCTGTGGGACATTTTCTTGGTTGTTAAATGATGGAGGAGAGCCTGGCCTACAATGGACAGTGCCACCTCTCAACAGGGGGTCATGGATTGTATAAGGGAGTAGCTGAGCAGAAGAAGGGAAAACAAGCCTTGAGTCCCTGCTCTGACTTCCCTCAATATTGGACTGTAACCTGGAAGTGTAAGCTAAATAAATCTTTTCTTCCCCTAATGCTTTTGGTCAGTGTGTTGTCATAGCAACAGAGAAGCAAACTGGAACAACCACTATATTTCAAACAATTCTATGCACCCTAGTGTCAAATGAAAAAACTAGCAGAAATTCATAGAGAATTTTTTTTTCTGTCATGCTAAGGAGAGATAACTCTTTAAAAAGTTGATATAAACAAATGTGCTTTTAATAACATGACTT